ATTAAAAAGCTTTGAATTGATTCCAAAAGCATTTATATAAAATAAATAAATTAGGAAAAAGGAAAACACAGGACTGTAAACCCTGCTCCCTGGTTATCCCACCCAAATACTCCAAGGAGCTGACCAAGATATGCCGAGAAGAACGCGTGCGAGAGAGTAAATTATGCATGTCTGCACAGGACAAGACAGAAGGGCGCAGCTTGAAGTGGTAAGGAATGGATGGGCTGGGGGCTTGTGGGGCCCCCGCTTAGGCGTGCTACCCTCAGACAGCTCGCCACAGAGGAGACAAAGACACAAAAGAAAAACTGCCTCCGTCAAGAAAACAGAAACGACCCAAGTCAGACACTAAACAAGAGCAGCTTGAATTTTCACTCAACATTGTGTGACTTACACTACACGTGATGTCATAACGGTGGAGCGGGATCCTTTCTGACAGTCAAAAACCTGATTAGGTCCATTTACGCTGTTACAGAACCTTAGACCTCCCTGAGGTCTTCCAGGCTCTAGCCTTGAACTTTCATCCGACCCAATTATCCAATTAGTTGAAGTAGTGGTTAGACTAGAACGTGATGACGGCGGGGACACCTGTAGGCTGAGCTGAGCTTTTTCTGAAGCCTAGGCCCCCCCACACACTGGGGCAACCAACACGTTCTTAGCATCATTACCCTTTACTGAACCAAAACAGAAATCTGTAGTAAAACCTATGACGGGTCAACACAAGTGAGATTTTTTAGGAGCAGCGATATTTACTCAAAGTTCGAGCTCAGAGTTTTGACTCTCCTTTCTGACAATAAATCATCATTTTTCACCGTAGCCCAAAAGTCTTACCATATCACCGTTACTCGTGGTCCCACCAGGTCGGTTTCTAAAATAAATTAGCATTTCAAAAAGTAACCACTACATTCCCTTTTGCCCTCTGGCCACTTCCCAATGGGACAAATAACAGCCTCGGCTTTTGACAGGTAGGCTAAAGCTGAAGCATTTTGCTTTTTAAAAAAAACATCTCTGACAGTCGTGTGGTCACACACTCTCCAACTGTTCAGCCTCTTTCGATGCCAAACATTAAGAGATTAGGGTGAAGCACTGAAACCCACAGGAAGTGATCTCCACTTGATCTCCGCTCTGATTTTTCAGGCTTTTGTTTGGTTTTGTTTTAAATTAAAATAATCTGGCTTTGATCACACCTGACCACAATCACAGAGAAGCACCAGTTTCTTAAGATTAAAGGGTAAATGTAAAGAAAATAAAGGCCTGGCAGCAGATCTAAAGTAGTGTTTTCTTTTCAGACACATAATCAAAGTGTGGATTTTATTTGATCACATCAGGTGAAGACGTCTCTGAACAAATGGACAATCATCGAGCTTGAGTGTTCTTGTCTAACAGAGGTACATCAGGTTGTACGAATGCTTCAAAAGGTCCCTTTCACAAAATTCCAAACATAATCTAATAAAAGTCCTCCTTTCAATCTATTTTACACCTTCGGAGATGTTTTTAAGAGTTAAAGGTAGTATCTCACTGGACTGCGACTAGTTGAGCTCTCCTCTAACAACATCCGAAGCTCAAGTTCGGGTCTAAAAACCAAATCAATGATTAATAAAAAAATATTAAAAATGGGCCTCTCTTTATTTAAAAGTGTACTCCAGCGAATCACAAACGTGGCTGCCAAAGTGGGTACAAAGCTAGCTGAGGTGAGTACAAAGTGTGCAATGAAATTTTGTGCACAGCCAAGAATGCAGTTATGTGAGACTTGCACACAAAAAAGAAGCTGAGAACTTGTTTACTGATTTATTTATTTTTTTTAATTAAAAGCTTTGTGTGAAAAATGCTATGCTAAAGAGCTCAAACCACACCGAGCGTCAGCCATTTTGAGAACCGGAGAGAGACAGCCCACGTCACGTCAAGGGGCCTCCCTCCCATTTTTCTTAGAGACACACTCCCTCACTATCCATCCTTCAGTTTAAACAGTTGTATACTGCCATCCAGTGGTCAAAAAAAGGAACTACATGCAAAACAAGTTAAACATTTCTTCTTAAATTTGACAATAATTACTAATTATTGTCAAATTTCAAACAATATTATCGTTTATCGCAATAATTTCTGAGACAATTAATCGCCCAGCAAAATTTGTTATTGTGAAAGGTCTAATCTTAATTTGGTGAGACTGTAATGAAAAAACTGCTTAAATTATTGCAACTTTCCACCAGTTTTAGGTCTCCAACAGCCGCAAGCCTGTGAGAAACTACCTTATGTTACGGCATTTAAAACCATTACAAAAAAGTCGTTTTAAATCAGTGTTTCTACGAAATGTTTGAGTTTTATCACTGTGTGTAGGAGCTTTTCTGTATACAGTCTCCAGTTTCTCACCACAGATGAACAAAATCAATATCCATCCCATATGGACATGATGACTCTTGGTTTGTAATCAGATAAAAAAAAAAAAACTCCCATTCATCCAACAAAAACATAAACTAAAGTTAAAGATCTTATGATGAACCAGTTATGTTTGAAGACATGGAAACAAAGAAAACCACATCCAGCTAGACAAGTTTTATTTCCTACTGATGTTTTTGTGTTTTTATTTGCCTGACTGCATTTAACAGCCTGCTTCAAAGTCAGCTTGACATCAAGACAGGCAGCTATTATGGCTGAAACAATGATCCATCCCCAGATATGTCCAGTTCTGACTCTGATGACTTTGTGCTCAAAGAACAAGCAGCTCTCCATGTGAGGACTTATTGGCATCAAACACAATAAGCAAATATTAATTTTAGGCCAAAACTCAAGAAGGCCATGTGTGAAGAGACACTTAAAAGAAACACTGTAAAACAATTTTACACTTGAACGCTTTTACACAAAAAAGGAGCTCTCCAAAAATGCCATATAATCTTGAAAGATCTATTTAAAGTGGGAAAAATACTCTAAATCTCCTAAATGCTGTTATTTAATGCTCAGATGGTTATTTTTAAAAATCAAAGCTGTTATAAATACATTAAATTGTTTTGAATGAGTCATATACGGCTTTAAAGTTTTAGAAAAGTTTATGTGGGTGAAAATGTATTAATCATTAAAACAAGAGTTGAGACTTTTAATTTTTATTTACTGTAGTTTTATTTTCCAAAAACTGACATTTGAATTTTCCGACTTAAAGAAAATGTAAACATCTTCTGGACTTCCATTCTCTTTTGCTTTGAGTTTGGCTTTTTGAGACTACTTGTGCATACTTTTACTGTAGTTTTGAGTAAAAGCTCAGGAGTGAGGCAGTGACTGTCTCCGTTTCTGAAATATGAGGTCTTATGATGTGCAAAGCTCAGGTGAAGATCTAAAACCAAACAAAGTCTGGCATGTCTAATGTGCAAGTGGGTCCAGTTAAGAACAGTAGCTGCTGTCTCGAGACCCTCAACCCTCTGAATGTCTGGTTTGAACTATTCAGCATGGAGGGGAAAAAAACATTTTTCAAATACCTGAAGGATATTTACACACCTGCTACGTGTGAAGAGAGCAGAGACGCCAAGTCTGTGTCAGACGACTGCAGAAGCGAGACGTTTCTAACTTTATGGATGACTGACATTATTTGGGCCTGGTCACAAAATGTGTAAACATTCATTTCAAGAAATGAGACAGTTCTTTACTTTTGCACAACAGAAACTGGAACGTAGCTGTTGACGGCCCCAGATGAGGAGGTGGGCGGAGTGGGGGGGGGGTTGCCTTGAGGGCATGAAACTACAGTGTAATCAAGGTCTTTGCCAAATTACAGACCGTAGACATCACTAAGCACAGTTCAATCAAGGGCTAAGAACGAGGTCACCTATTATGCTAAAATTCCTAAATCACAGAGTAAATTCCTGAGTAAAAACACGAGACAGAGGAGACGGCCTCTACTTATTCAAGGCATTCTACGTGTCTAAGTACAAAAGAGTGCTTTTGTTTGTAGCTCCAGAAAAACAAACCGTCAGGAGCCAAATGATAACCTAGCAGTCAACGCAACGCATTTTTTAGGATACAGAGCTAAATATAGTGTAACAAAGAAATGTGCACGTTCCTTCAGAGGTTTCAAGAAAATATTGAAGTATTTAAAGAAAACAAGGGATGGAGAAGCGAACAAGCTGGTTCAAAAGAAATTTTAATTAAAAACCTAATATCCCTCGAAGAAAAGTGCATCACACACAGCTTTTCAGGTCAGTTTATGGTAAGAAATAAATATAATCTGTTTTAGTCAAACCTTTAAAAAGAACATTATGCTCAGTTTCACACGACGGCACAAGAAGTCAGGCTCAGAGCATGTGTCGTGAATGACTCTCAGCTACTTCCACATCAAATTTCACTTTAATATTTGAAAAACTGACTGATTTACAGACATTTACGTGTTGGAAGACACTGATTACATGGGGCAAATATCCTGAATTAGATCAGTTGTATCCAATGATTATTTACTGAGTGTCAGTAAAAGCTGTACAGTGGTTCATGAGACATTTTGCTAACAGAGTGGATTCCAAATAGTTATTGGTGACATTTAAAATCTTGCACAAAGATCTGTTAGCCCTCAGAAAATGCATTAAAGGTCTCAGCTACTACCCACACCACCTTTCAGAACAATATCTGTAAAACTACCTGAGCTATAGCCATTAGGAACACTTCTTACAACCCACAGACAAAAACCGTTTCTGTCTTCGCCTTTTGGTGGCGGGCGATAATTAGAAAGTCCATCCACCCATCCAGTCAACAAACATTTTCCTAAAAGAATTGTTGCAAAAAATTCAACGGACTGATAACTATAAACATCTCGTTATTGAAAAGAATAAAACTTATACATTCAGTTTTGATTGTTGTTGATTTTGGACTTTTGTTTTGGAAAGCACCGATAAAATCTGCTGATTTAAACTCCTCCATCGAACCAAATGTTGAACGCTTGGAATCAAAAAATAAAAAACGCACTCGTTCAGTTAGAGACACACACACTTGGACGGACGGTGTTGTTTGGTCACAACATGCAGGTAACAAACCTGGTTAATTGAATTGGCAGCACAGGATGCAAGACCCGTTCCCAGAGAAGACACAACAAAGATGATGGGATCAAAGGCCACTGGAGCAATCGCAAAGCCAGCTGCTGCCGTTGAAACCACCAGAGCTGAAATCAAATTATAAAACAAGAAGATACATCACTACCAGCTGAAACTTTTACTTCTCTAAAGAGGCAACTTTTAGTTTTTTTACTGAATATTAATTTGCTTAGATGTGCTTCATAGGGAACTAAATAGGACTTTTTTTTTTTTTTTTTTTAGAAGTGTTCGCGAAACAAGAACAAACAGGGGAAAAAAAAAACATTATTTGCAGCTGTGGTTAAAAAAAAGAGCTGCAAACAGGATGTGAATGAGGTCAAGAACCAGATAAGCATTCTTAACCACAACATTGACTGACCACTGACCTGATAAAAAGAAACAATCCACCATTTCACCAAGTTTCAGTGCATTACCCATGTGTTTCAAACATCGTTATAAAGAGAGCAGCTGTTAAGATTGTTTTAATGCCAAGTAATTAAAACAGGGCAACACATATTCGCATTACTTTTAAAAGTCACATAAGGCACCTATTATACAGAAGTTTGTATTCAAGGCCAATACAAGAGAGTTGCTTTGTAAAAATAGCTGTGCTGCAACAAGAAGCTGTTTAAGACACATCTGCAGCTGTGATGCAGCAAAAACCATCATACTTTGGTAGTTAGAGGAGGGAATCTTCAGGAACCTCACAATTTGCTTTACGGCAGTCCCTCGTTTATCGCGGATTGATCCGTACCCTGAAGCCCTGCGATAAGTGAAAAACCAAAGTAGGAATAGTAGTACAAGTAGGAAGTAGGAGTTTATTTTAGCATTTATATAGGCATTTTAAACCCTTCCCACACTCTTGCAATATTCTAAACAATGTTTCTAAACTCTAAACGTCTAAAAGAGCACAGAATGTCATGATTTCACCTCCCTGCAATTTGCCACCTGCAAGCTTCTTGGCCACGCCCACTTCTCTGCTCTGCACAGAGAACAGCTGATCAGCTGCAGCAGGAAGTTTATCCTGCAGTAAGGGCTGCTCAAAGGTGCAGGAGGTGCTAAATAATTTAAAATAATTTTATTTTAAATAAAAATTCCATGCCGATCGCGCGGCTCATCCATCAATCAGCCAACTGTGTGTCATGTCCAATCTTATTTTGAAAAACTGCGACAGAGCGAGTCCACGATAAACGAACCACGAAGTAACGAGGGACTACTGTAATCACAATTCAGAGGACTTGGAAAACAATTATTCATATCTTTTGATTTTCTTAAACTTAAATAACTATGGCTTATTTTACAGAAACACTGATTTAAATATTAAATGCCTAAAACTGAGGGCACAACAACATGTCAAACTAAGAATCACAGGTTGCTAACAAACATCGAGAATAGATGTTAACTTATCATTGAAAACCGTTTTGAAAAAATCTACGCAATTTGCCTTTTGCATATAATATACTCCGCTCCAGTAGGGCTGGACAATAATTCATATCAATATGTCACGATATAACCACCAACGTCCATGGTCAATAATCCAGGTATACAATCCAACAATTTTCAGTAGGTCATCTGGACAGTTTCAGCACAAAAAAAATCTGTCCAGATGACATGACTGAAAATTGTTTGACTGCATACCTGGATAATTGAGCATGGACTTTGTTGGTTTTGAATCAGTTTGACATGACTGTCGACGAGGGAGAGGGCCAGCAACGGAGGAGGGGGCGTGCCAAAGAGACCATCTTAGCACCAACAAAACTGGTTTGTTCCACTTTGGATTAAGCTCAAAAAAAAAAAAAAGAAACTGCCAGATGACCTGACTGAAAATTGTTGGATTGTATACCTGGATTATTGAGCATGGACTTTGTTGGATTTGATATTGTCAATAGAAAAATCAAAGCAAATATGTTGTTTTTAGTATTTCACTCTGTTTTACGGCACCCTGACTTACTGTTTTATACACAACTTTTATTTTAACTGCATTTTTACTGTAGTTTATTGTCGTTATTGTCTACTGTTATTGTTGTATGTACTTTATATGTTCTGTCTGGAACAGGTCCCTCTTGTAAATGAGTCCTTGTGGCTCAATGAAGCTAGCCTGTATAAATAAAGGTTGAATGAAAAAAAAAAAAGGTGTACATTTATACACCAATCTATCATTTCAAAATCAGTAATAAAGTCATTTTATGATCATTTCAACTATCAGTTGCAGACATGTTTCTTTTATGATTCAATGATGACTAGATGAAAAATGTGAAAATCTGTTGTACTGCAACATTTAGACGCTCGACAGAGACAAACGGCCGCTCTTTTATTTGATCGTTTAAATTCTTGTTTTGAATACGTTGCATGAATTCAAAACTATGAAGTTCTTACTTTTCCTAATGACTGTGCTAACTTTTCAAGCCAGGATGCAAGTGTGCAGCTATAGAAAGTTCTCATTATATGAAGTTTTTCATCTTCATATTGCAAACTAAAGTAATTTGACACAAGCACCAAAGTTTTACAGATTTAACGCACTGTTCCTCCTACATGTAGCAGCCTTGAGCAGGGGCAACTCAAATTTTAGTTCTACTTAGTTTGTACAAAATGTAAACTTAGTAATTATGTCAATTTATGTTAGACAAAATAAGACTACAAAAGCCAAAATGGTTTTGTGCATTAGTTTGTTATGTTAAATCTAAATATTTCAACATTAATCATTCAACATTAGTTCTATTATATCCTGTTTGTAAAAGCAACTAAGAGCTGAAGACTGCACTAGCAAGCAGACAGTTTTCTTTAAATGTGTGACCAATTTTGATTAGGTTTACATTAAAACAAACATTTTTATACATTTGACATAATCATGATGTATTAAGTACCTGTGAGTTTGATTTTGGAGAGTCGAGCATAGATATCTGGTAACTCAGACACATCGAATTTCAGCTGCTTCCACTGTCTGTCTAGACGAGCCTGACTTGCGCTCTCCATCTCGAATTGAACGTGTGGAGTTTCATCTGGATTTGCAGTCGTACGGGCCACAGAAACTTCCCGTGCAGCCACATTTTCTGTAGTGGGCTTCAACGTGAAGATTTCAGGCTGTGGATTACTGGTGACATGTTCTGGCCGTTGAACAGGATTAACAGGTGGTATTCTCTCTACAAGCCTTTCAATGCTGTCATCTCTTTCATCAATATTGGCCACTTGTGTCTGCTTGGGGATGGCACGTTGGTGAAGCTCACTGTTGGTTTTTGCTACATACTGGCAAAACAAAAAGGACAGGAGGATTCAGAATAACTGTTTATAGGAGCACAGGTGTCTTTGAAAACAATAAATTGATTTAGCTTTCGAGTACAAACGGGCACATTGTTAACAAGCAGCATTTTTTGCTAAAAGACACTGAAAAACACAGTTGTATGGTGAAATGTACCTGTCGTTTTAGAAAGGTGAGATGCTGATATGTCAGCCACTTTGAAGGATCTCTTTTGTGCACATGAAAAAGGCTGCGAGCAGTTTGGTTACATCGAGGAGCAATTTGAGTTAACTTCTGTTTCACACTCACACCAACATACCCTGCAAGAAACAAGACAGTTTTTAGTCCATACATAAAATACGTTTCAACTGGAGTTTTATAGCAACATGGAGCTCACTTGTCCAAAATAAAACTGTTTAAGAGGAAAAAAAAAAAGATCATTGCAATAAAACAAATCTTATCAAACTTTCAACACAAACAATAAAATTTGGCAACGCATGTGGTTGTTGCACAAAATCAATATCCATTACAGGGAAGAAATTAAGCTCCACAGCAAGTTTTAACATGCAATATTTGTTACACTTTAGCTGTTTATGGATACTAGTTTATTAAACTGCTATTGATTTACATTAGGTATGTCATATGTTGTTTGAGCTCCAACTCTTTGTCTATAGCTCCAAAAGCTAATATGGTCCATTTAATGACAACACCTAACAAATTAATGAAATGAAACAACTGATGTGCATTAAATAATTGTTTAAATTGTGTTCTCTGACTTAACAACTTGTCTTCAAACAGCTAACATGTCCTGCAGCTAACAGTAAGGGACATGTCCTGTAATTTTGTACGTAAACGTCGGAAATATCGCAACACAATTAATATAAGAACCGTACCAATAAGTGGAAGTTTTGATTTACATAAAAATACGCTAAACATATTTCTAAGATCACTTCTAGGCTTCAACTCTACCAGTAAGCTACATGCTAAGCTAGCTTCGCCTTTAGCTTCGGTGCTGCTAACAGTGCACGCGCAATGAAAGTGGTTTTAAAATGCAACCAAATGTTAAAATAAACTTCGCTTTTCTCGGTTGTTTTACCTGAGAGTCTGCTACATGGCGTTTTATACATGTTCTCGATTCATAAAGCTGACTTTCAGTGCGACCCTTTCACATCCAGTGAGCTACCATTTTGACCTCGTTGAGTAAGAAGAAGCACTTCCGGGTCACAAATAAATTACGAAGGTGGCTGCTGCAAAAGTATCTACGGGTCAAAAATGTATTTTATTATTACAAAATGAGTGCCACACAGATCTTATGCAAAAATGAACGTTTGTTCGTATTTTAATTCTATGGATTTTAATTTTAATTTAATCATCTTGTCTACTGGAGCAAAATGCAATCCAAAGTAGTTCCTGCTTTAATATTTATCCTGTCTTTAGAGTGGTTTTGTTTTGTTTGCAGCTGATTTTATTGGGTGTTTTGAGAGATATTTTAACCTACCTCTGCCCTGTCCCCCACGGAGTGTTTTTGTAGATGAATAGATCTCATATTGTTGCTTGTTTTCCCCAAGGGTAATAAGCATTTTATTTTAAAACACTGAAATGGGAGCAAAACTAAAATAACAAAAAACAGAAATATATTGTTATATATATATATATATATGTTATATATATACATGCAAATAAACCCTAAAAAATTGGATCCACTGTTACAAGATTATACGACTATGGATAAAAAGTGGCACCAAAAAAAAACTAGTTGTCTAAAACTGATCAGTTCCAACCCAATCAAAGATGGCTGACAAAGCCCACTGACCTTAGAACACAAAAATGGCTATAACTCAGCCACGTTGAAAGATATAGAGCTAAAATTGACATTCTCAACACATAATGGGATTTACATGTCTAAATAAAGGTTAAATGAAAAAAAATAAATCTTAAAGTGCTACTATTTTGCTTAAAATTTTAAGTATAACTTTTGGAGTCAAAACTTTTTTCTGTCACCAACTTCTCAAGAACCACTGAAGGGATTTTAATGAACGTTTCTGAAAGTAATCACTGAATGTACATCTACAACTGATTCATTTTTAGGGTCAATTTAATTCAAAATGGCTGCCACAGCAAATACACACAAGAGTTGCTATGATTCAGTCAGTTTAACAAGCACTGAGTTAAAAGTTAAAGTGGTAGTAGAGTCATTTGCAACACATAATCTTAGAGCGACATTTGATGATGTCATTTGAAAAGCAAAAAATTGTATAACGTCACCACAATGGCTGTAAAACTGACCTGTAAGGCAGCAGGCAATGGGCTTTCTTTCAAAAACGTTGGGATTTGGTTTACGTTTGTTTTGTGATGCTTATTACTTATTAAAACTTATGAGAACTTATAGGAGAGCACTTAAGATAAATTAAGAGAGTTCTGCGGTGAAGTTAAATTCAGAGCAGTCTTGTATGTGGGCCCTTTGCTCTCCCAAAAAAGACACTGAGCTTTATTCAAACCTTTGTATCCCTCAGATGAAGGACACAAGGTTTGAAACAGTGTTCTGAGCTTCTCGGGATCCATGAAGGGTTCCCACAGAATTCTTTCTAAGGGTTAGCGGTTAGTAGGGCTGGGCGATATCTCGATATTTTTTAAATATCGAGATAATTTCATACACGATATAAGATGTAACTATAACATCTGTATTGCGTTGCATTATAATTAGACATGAAAATCTGTGTATTCTTCTTTTTCTCCCTCTGCGCCGCAAACTTCACGTGACCCCTCCTACTCCTTCACTGAATACAAACCTAGCCCCCTTACCCACACACGCTCTCACCGCTTCCTGCTTCTTCAGGTGGGCAGGAAGTTTAGTACAACAAGTAAAGAGCACAGGATATCGAAGAGCAGCTGAGCAGGTGAGCAAAAAGAAAAGCAATGGCTGTTATTTGGAGATGGTTTGGATTTAAATTGTCAGATGACTAGCAGAAAAATGTTTTCTGTAGACAATGCCAAAAACAAGTCCCGACAAACGGTCGGCACTGCGAATCTTATTCACCATTTTTAAAACCGTGCTATAAGTGAAGTATGAAGTGTGTGTGAAGCTGCAGCTCCGACTTCAGCCTCCTTCCCTGACTCAAACCACGGTACAAAATTAATTTAGCCGTGCTGTGCCTTATGAGAGGAACAGTGAGAGTTAGCGCAACATTAATAAAGCAACGGCTTTATCTCACTAAAGACACGGTCCCTGTCTCAACTGTGGAACAAGACGGCTGAAGACAATGGGGCTAATTAATGTCGTGAAGGTGGTGCCGCTGAAGAGGATTATTATTTAATATATATATATATAAATAGCTTATTTTTTAGACATTTATTTTATACAGTTACAGCTGTTTGTTAATAAATGTGCCTGTGTGACAACTGGAACAAAGATTGACTCAGAAATATATTTTTGTTATTACTTTATGGAAAGAAAAAATTATCAAGATATATATCGTATATCGCCATTCATCTTAAAATATCGAGATATTAATTTTGGCCGATATCGCTCAGCCCTGGCGGTTAGGTTTAGGGCTAAGGTGTGAATTAAGTTTAGACTGGGGTCAGAGTTAGGCATGCACTGGTCATTTTTAGGCCTATGGTAAGAGTCAGGATTAGGCTACAGAAATAAACTAAAATGTCCGTACACTGTCCTAATAACAGTAGAACTACAAATGTGCACGTGTGTGACCATGGACTGTCAGCCTGTCCAAGGTGTATTAATTTGTCCAGTTATCACTGGAAATAGACACCAGCTCCTCTTGACCCTGATCAGGAACAACAGGTGTTGAAAATAGATGGCTGGATCACCCAAATGAAATTATTATTTACAATCACAGGCGTCTAAAAACTAAAATCTGAACAACAATCCCTTCATTTTGTCCTTGCTCATCTTCTCCAATCCATCCGTCAACCAGCTTCCCTTCCCCTTCCAGCAGATACATGGTGTAATCCACATGCACCATCAAGATACAGGAGCTGATGAATACCAACAGTACACACAAGGCCATTCCAGATCCAGCTTAAGAGATGCTTTATTGCAGGGGATACCCATTAAGATCAGTTCCACAAGATTTCATTCCAAACTGACCCGGTCAACCTCCTTTCATTTATCGTACGTGTGTACTGAAGTTGAAAGGGAGATTTAATGCTTGGTTTTACACTGTATTATTTACTTCAGGGTATTTCATCTACAGTTTTCCATGTTCAACTCATTTTGCTTTTCAGCAACAGTAGTATAAAGCTTCTTGTGTAGTCAGACCTGCCAAGTTAATGGCTTTGAAGGCACCGAGTCAAACCATAATCTTTGGTGTAGCAGTCTGTCGGCTACCTCTTTGGGTGATTGACATCCTCCTCTGTGTCTGAGGCTAACGTTAATAAACATGTTCATTCAAGAGTAGATAGCCCCAGCTCCTTTGGACTGGAGTGGAATAATATTTGCTCATTGCATCAGGGAAAAGTAAAGTGAGGCTGAATTTGTAAATTCCAAAGAGTCGTTTCTTCTGCTCAAACTGTCCGTCTTTTAGTCTGGCTGGTTGGGCAAATGCACCGAGACAGTATAATTACACTTTCCCTTCAGTTTTAGAATTTGTTGTTGAGAGTTTCTGGTGAAAGAGAGAATGAAACCTCTTTACTGGACTGGTGGGTTTTCTTCTAAAGTCAGGAAGCTCAACTTGTGCAGATAATTGCACAATACACTCCAGTGAGAAAAGACAAAGCGTAACGTGCCTTTAATGTCCTCTGTCTATAAGGTGGATAAAAAGCCAGGACCTGGAGAGCAGATGGGCCAAAAGAGCAGTTTGTTTAACCCTAAAAAGTTATTTGAAAGGATCTTTATGGTTATTCTACCTCAGTATGAGGGCCTTTAATCGCCGCTTTCACTGCAGTTTGGGGGGAAAAAGCCGAAATAGCTTCAAACAACCTCTCTTGAGAGCAACGAGGAAACAAAAGAAATGAAGGCCTGCATCGTGAGTGACGACAAAGTTTATCAGAGTAAAAGGAGGTTGATGTCAGCTTCCCCTCCTGCAACAGTCCTCACAATGACAACTCAAGTTCCAGAAAGTCTGATGTAGATTTAAAGTAAAGTGGAGAAAGACTGACATGTGGTCTGAAACACAAAACATGTTTCTCGGAAAAAATTCATAAATGCTCAAAATGAATGAAATACCAGATCAAAGCAACAAATGTAAGACAGAAAGCTCGGAGAACTTCAATAAAAACAAAATAATCAAGTAATTTGGTAGTTTTTATGCACACAAGTGCCTCCATTTTCAATCTAACCTACGACCTGAGGGCATCTTCTTTTTCTTACTGTGTTACAGTTTACACTCAGAATTCAAGCGTTATCCATTACGCACTGTTTCCTTGTATTTCTGTGGCGGCTCTACAGCTCCATAACTAGCTTTTTGTGTCTTCTGCTGATTTTGAGTGTGGAATAAATATTTCTAGAAATAGGGCCATGTTTCAGATTATATTTTCACAAGTGACAAATAAAAAAATTGTTTTAGAAAATCTGTGATTGTGTGGCTTTGTACTGTTGTTTCTACAAACATGGTCCTTGCTTGTACAAAAATATATGAAAATGGATAAATGATGCTTTCAGTAGCTACTTCTCTACAGTCCCTGGTTGGCCTATACATGTAATGGCCTTACAAGAGTATTGATGTTGTATATTTACCAGATAACTAATGATTGCTAAAGGTAAAGTAGCATCTGGGCTGCGACTGTTGGCAGCATTAGTGCAGGAGTCTCTAAAATGTCTTAAACTGTTTCTGGATGTTTTCAGTTTCATCACAGAAGTTTTAAGGCTTGTTACTTGTGTGCAACACTTTTTATATCAAAACAGTCTCAGAGTCATTGCAGTCATCTCAAACTCTTCTCACTTTAGTTTTCATAAGTTCTAAAATCCTGGAGCTGGATTTTTAATATCTGCATAGGAGATAGCATATGACAGAAACATCCCTAAGCCTGGCCAATGACAAATAATCATTATTTAAAACGAAGTTCAAATCTGCCCCTGTTCATTTTTAAAGTTCAGCAGAGTGAATCATAAACGTGTTTGGCTGTTAATGCGAGTACAAAGTGAATTGCGATGTTTGCAATGAAATGATGTGCACAACCTAGAATACAGTTTTGCAGCATGCACACAAAAATAGGCCGTAATATAAAAATAATGGCCCCTCAG